CCCCCCCCCACAAAGGCTTTGCCCCCCCCCCCCCCCCCCCCCCCTCGATGCGATAAAACAAAGTTATTGACTCAAGACCAAGGATGACGCGGACACTGACTTATCAGGGATGGCAGTGCAGAGACGAATGAGGAAGGGATTCACTCCCTGGACCCTCTCCAGGCCAAACCACGAGTCTTCCTTCCATCTCGTCGCACTCTAATATCGTGAAATATTAAAAAAAGTAAAGTTATAAATCGAGAATCGAATAATTTGCAATCGTACATAATTTAACTCTGGAAATAGATTTCATAAACTTATAAAGATCCATCGACAAGTCCATGAACTATTAACAAATGAACTGAACATTGAACAAACCATCGTAGTTTCCATTTTGTTTCGAATCGACAAGATGTAGGAATGATTGATCTTCCTTACGATGGGTTGATGGAAGCTCATCTTGTAGAGGGAAAGGAGTTCGTCGATGGAAGACCATCGCTCGTTGTGATTCCATTTGATCCAGGTCCGCTGAAGGAGGAGTTTCGCTTTATTCTTCGCGAAATCAATCTGCCAATATAAGTGTATCGTATTAATTCCACCGCTATGGCTAATGATGAGCGGTTTCCTCTTTTAAAGTTCATTGATATACCGCGGTCTGACCAAATAGAAACTAAGGAAATCTATTTACTATAACAGCGTTATCGAGAGGTGGCGCCCAAGTACACAGACTAGGCAGAAGTAAGTAGACAATCAAGTTTGAAAGAGCATAGGTTTTTCTGTAAGTGCGTGCAGCACTGGTGAGACACTAGTAGGGTTGATTCTTCCTTCCTTAGCTCTGTACTTGTTCATACAGTTACCATTAATGTATTCATCATGTTCCCTGGAATAGTCCTTTCGAAATTCAGTGTGTCTATTTCCTTCTGTCTAGTCTGTGTATATACGTACTATACAATGTACCTAAACGCCATACTCCGTACTGTACTCTCAGCGATACATGCATTACCACTATATCGTCATAAATACTTTTAGACGAACTAGAGAGCATTTTTCCATTGCAGACCAGGGGTGGCCAAAGTTTTGGAGTGGGGGGCCATATTGGAAGTAAAAAGATCGGTGCAGGCCGGTGACCGACGCTTTCATCGCAGCCGCTAATGGTTGTGGACAGCTCGTTGCGGACGAAATGTCGCAAGCCCGTTTCGTCGTTGTACTATTTCGCCGCAGACACAGATCGTTGCATATACACGGCGAAGACCCTTGTAGGAAAAGCGAAGTGAAAGGAATGGAAAGGGAAGGAATATTTCCCCGTCGTTTTCGACTTTTTCTAGAACTGCACAGTTCATATGCAAATTCGAGTTTTCATGTACATGACACTGGAATGGGTCAAATCATCAACAGCTGTGCTACTCAATCTTTTTTTTTTTTTACCTGCAGACCAATTTCGGAATAAAAAGAACCCCTTTCACGATTAGTAAATTTGTAAGCTTATAAAATTAGTGCTGGTAATTTTCAAGAAAGTAATGTAAATGTTGACTTAAGAGACACTCATTTCGGAATTTTAATCATTAATTTTGTCCTTCATTCATTTTTGGCCAGGACACAGTTTCGTGGACCATCTGGCGAACCCCCAATTGAGAAACGTTGATCAACAAGGATGGAAAACTGCGCTAGGAAAGATAAATTTTCATTGTAGAGTGACAAAGTGACGATGAGATAGCATACCTATGTGAGCTACCGAGCTGTCTAGGTAATAGGGTGTGACACGCAAAAGAGAGGCTCACTATGTCTTCCACGACTTCTTTATAATATTAGTGTATATCACCCCGCCCTGAATTGCCCTCGTGACAAAGGAAGTGCGACGAAACCGTCCTTCGACCAAAGATGCACGCGACTTAATTTTTGCTACGAACTGTCTACGACCATTTTGGCCGCGACAAAAGCGCCGGTAGCCGTGCAGGCGAGATAACCATAAACAAATTTATACTTAATTAAAAAAAACTTTTTATGCATGAGAAACCAATTAAAAAGGACACAGGGTACAATCCTACATGTATTTCACCCAACTTGAATGTGAACCATGGGATGCGGTGCATCCTACCTGCGGGCCGTTCTTTGGACAACCCTGCTGTAGACTGAATTGTAAGGAAAAATGTGGGTTTTTCTCCCGCGTTTCTTCTCGATTACATAACTTGGCATCCTCTCCTTCCCTCAAAATAATGACAGCGCGAAACGCCTAAAATTCGTCTCGCAATCGCACCCTACCGTGAAGCAATAATTTCATTGGAGATAAATACTAAAAAATATACAGGGTAGGTAAAAAAAAGGACAGTTTTCAACGAAACGCTATACTGCAGTGAATGCATATATTTCAGTGCGGTTTGCGGCATTTGAAAGAGGAATGGCTAAGCTTTAACATGCTGCACTGACACTTGAAATAATATCAACAGTTTCAGAAATTCTGAAGCTCATATGAACTACAAAAAAACACTGCGTTGTTTTTGTAGCAGTAGGGATGGACAGGCAGCTGAAGGTCACATGCCGTCTGCGTCCGAGTGCGCGGCAACGCAGTTTTTGTTTCTTGTTCATATAAGCTCCCGAATTCCTAAAATTGTTGAATATATTTGAAATATAAGTAAACCATTTTAAAGCTTATACATTCCTCTATCAAATGTCGCAAACCGCATTAAAATATATGCAGCGAGTGAAGTGTAGGGTATCGAAGAAAACGTCGGGGTTTTTTTGGCCCCTCCCTGTATTCCGACAGAAGCTGATACTGACGCGTGTGGTAGAAAGTCGCACGGAAAGGAACAGACGAATGCCGGACATCACCCATTCGGCACATCTTAGGCTTTCCCATGCGGACGCATAATGGTATCTAAAACCGGCTGCAGACGAGAAGCAAATCTCTACGAATGAGACACGAACTTCTCCCCGATTCCCCGGGGCTAAAATATCCTCCCATGTGGAGGCCTAAAATGTGAAGGAATGATTCACATTTCCATCCTAACAAGAACGCCATCGAAGAATGTCTCCTTGGACGGATTTCCACTATCGAGGTCATCCCCAATTTATGGTGGAATAATGTATTGTATGGAATCCCTATTTTTCGCCACATTCCAATGTTTTGCCTGTGCTGGTCTTCCAGTTCCGGAAAAGGGCTTAACAGAGGAAGGAGACCGAAATTCGATTCGAGACCCGATTGTACAGAATGTCGATATCTCTCTCTTATCGTGGCAAAATGAGAGAAGTATCTGAAGAGCGGGGGGGAGGGGGGGATCGTTCTGTGGTCGGGGGGGACGAAGTGTAATATAGTCAAGGCCTCCCTTATCATCCTAACAAGAATCCCGTTGACAAGCGGAGCCCTGCTATGGACCTTCTACCACGGTCTCTCCCGAACAAGAGGAACGAGGCATTGTCAAACCACGCGATGTCATCGTCCACATGCACCCCAGATGTACAGTAGTTGCATGTATGTATTGAATAGTTCCATGTGCCTACTCGAAAAAAAATCCGCTGATATGCATACAATGCCGACAAAATAGCACTCCTTTGACCCCGTCAAGAAATTCAAATCACATTATGAGGACAATTCTGTTTTTAAAATATAGGTCTTGATAAATAAATTTAACAAATTTGTCGTGAAAGTTCTCGAGTGCTTCTTGTTAGCTTGATTTAAAGCTAGGGGAGTGCTGAGGGAAGGAGGAAACTATAAAAAAAATATACACATGTGTATATGCAATTAATGCGTGATATGTTGTCAAGAAGAAAAGTAAAACTGCGGAGGATTCTTTCCACTATCAATGACATAGAGGCTATCTTATTCCTCTCACAAATCTACCAGAATATTCTCTTCTCGGAACCATTGGATTATTCTGAGGGGATTCCCCCTCGTTACTGAATGAGTGAATGGCAACCAGTGAAAGGGCAGCTCACGTAGTAATCATCCGAGAACTTCTCGTCATCCGGCAGCTTTGCTACCTGGAACGGGAGAGAGGGGATTAGTATATATCATGAGTCATGCAACAGATTTTTCTTTTACATTCCTTCCCTTTTTCCACGCGATAATCGTTCTCAACGGTTCACGGCTTCCTCACTCATTGTGACTCTTTACAAAAGACATAAACAGAAACACGATCTGGGTACAGTGAGTTGATAGTAAAAATAACCACGTCGCAGCGGCTTAGGATGGAACGGTCACGGTTCTTGATGCTTTTGGTGGATTTTTGAACATAGTACTATCCGATAATGCAGCTTTATTTACCGGATTTATAATGCATTTTCTCTGAAATAAAGCTGCATCATCGGATAATTCTCTTTTCAAAAATCCACCCTTAGTAGCTACTAATTCTTTGACAGCTAGAAGGGACTTAGTAGCTATTAAGTCTTAGTCGCCCTTTGAAAATATGACCCATAGTGTACTATTTGGACAGGCAACACCCAGGGGCTGCAGGAGACTCGAATAATCGATACACTTTACAAGTCTTCTGGCAGTGCAGGGTTATTCGATCCTCGTGGCAGTAATTCCACAAGACCGTAAATTCCAATGTGTTACGAATGATTGCATTGCGTTTTAAATCATTCTTCGAAAGTTTTTGACCCTTCGACATTGTAATAATTAAATTCAAATATTTATTCACATCTAAGTCCCACGATGGGATCAAGGCCAGATCTGACCAAGATGCACGCACGTGCTGTCATTCACAGCGCAATACACGTAAACAAATGAATAAAAATACCTGGACGGGACCGCCGGGGAATTTGGCCTTGTATCGATACGACGCTCGCTTCTCCTCCAACTCGTTCCGTCTCCCCTGGGGATCAGGGTCGCACTGAGGGAGGAAGCAGTCGAACTCCCACACTTTGTAACGCTGCTTCGCCTTCACCCAGCGTTGGACAGGGAACACCACGAGGTGGCCTGCACCTCGGTGTTCCACCTAAACCACATGCACCCGAGAAATTCCTTTCAAAATACATGCTTATCAAATATCGCGATCGGTGGCTTCAGGGGGTCTCAGTATGAAAGCAGTTGAATGACTAGCGGGGGTGGGGGGAGTTGCCAGTGGCTGTATTCAAAATAAGTCCATGTAAGAATTGAAATGGATATTATTTCATATAGCTGTGTTCGAAAATAGGTCCATTGATATGAGACAAAAATCTGATACATTTCACGAGTCCGGAACGTTTGGCTTTGATGAGTTGGTATGGGGGAAAGGAACTAGGGATGATCGACACTTTAATTTTATTTATTTATTTATTTTCAACCCAAGACAATGGGTCATAATGATAGTCAAAGCGATACCCAAAACTTGACAGGGGTAAGCCAAAGAACGAGTGGGCCTCCTCCCGGACAGGTTCTCCTACTTTTCATCATGGAGGACTTTTTTTTGGCGAGCTCGCACCATATGAGAAAGAACCGGAGTCGAGCCAGAGTGGACTGGGTGGACTCGGGCCCAGAGCTACGGTTACACGACGGGATGGAGTTTCAAAACTGAGGCGCAACTCGCGTCTAAAGGGAACTATCAATACAAGATACGAAAGCAAAGTAGAACTGTGACGCCTTCAGAATTTGAAAACTCCGTATCATGGGAAAGAAGGCTTTTACTTCTATCTACTTTAATCTACTTTAAAAAATTCGAGGGTTGTACTGGTGGTCACATTTGGCAAATGGGCTGATGGCGCATTATGATCTCATACCCATCGGTTGGTACCAGTGCCGGTGCTGGTTATGACATTTAGATAAAAGACCGAGGAGCTATGATATTAAATACTTATTCAAATAGGCCTATTAGGAAAGCCTGATCAACACTTTTTTATAGGTCTATCACAACGGCTGCTATAAAAACATCGTTCAACCTACATAAACGATTGAGCATAGATGCATCACGGGAGGGGGGGGGGGGAGGAATGGTGCCGTCGCATTATCCTCTCTTCCGTGATTGGGGTGGGGAAGACCATCGTGATAAGTAAAGAAGCCATCGATATATCGGCTGTAGTAGCAGATAGTCAAAAGAGGCAGGAGAGGCCCAGTCATACCCTGCCTTCATTGACTATCCGCTAGCGCTGAATGTCACGAGCTGCCTGCAACTATCGACATGATGTCGATACATTGATCGATGTATAACGACCGTCTTAATTTTCCTTATCGCCGTCGATAATCGTTTACCGAGAAGCACTTACGAGGTCTGGCAATAAAGTTCCAGGACGGATTTTTTTGTGAGTCTGTCAATATCACAAAAATTATTTTCATTACATTCATGGACTGTTGGGCAGTGTAGTGTCAGCCCTCATCTGACTAGCATCTTGAGTGAGAGTTTGGCTGGCAATGTAGCAGCTCAGTGTGTAAGGCGTCTGCCATATTCCCAGAGTGAAGAAATGCTTCATCACACTTTGTCTGAAACCGATCAATACAGCTGCAGTAATCCATGAAACGTTGCTGAAGTGTTATGAAAAAAGTTCCTTGATATGCTCCAATAATTTTGAATAACCTTCTAGGCCTTTAGCAAGTAGTGAAGACACTCAGATCCACCTCAACCCCAACCATCACCAACCATTCATCCAAGGGATGGATGAATCAGTCATTATTTTCAATGTCATTTCTACTGGCTGAAAGCCTTGAAAACTATTCAAGATTCTTGGAGTATGACGAGACAACTTGTCAAGACACTTCTTGCAACATTTGATGGATCGCTTAAGGGATGGCTGGAATCAGTCATTATTTTCAATGTCATTTCTACTGGCTGAAAGCCTTGAAAACTATTCAAGATTCTTGGAGTATGACGAGACAACTTGTCAAGACGCTTCTTGCAACATTTGACGGATCGCTGCAGCTGTATTCCCAGATTGAGACAAAATGTGATGAAGCATTGCTTCACTCTTGGAATATGACAGATGCCTTACGCTCTGAGTTGTTAAATTGCCAGCCATATTATCATTCAAGATTCTAGTTAGATGAGGGCTGATACGACACTGCCCAACAGTCTAATCTATCAGTCCATGGAATGAAAATAATATTTGTGATATTGACAGACTCACAAAAAAGTCAGTCATGGAACTTTATTGCCAGACCTCGTATATCTTTGAGAGACTTATCACACATTGGTGTAATTCAGTTGTCTTCATTTCACCCAGTATGCTTCTGATTGATGTAATTTAATTGGAGGAAACATGAGATCCTCCTGATTGATGTCATTTAAATGGAGGGAAGATGAGATCCTATTGGCTTCCAAACTGAAAATAGTGAAGATTCTTCAATCAACAGCTCACTGTTTTTAAGGCATCAAATGAGTACTGAAAGTTACCAGCAATGTTTACTTTTGCTATCACCAAATCAGCCAGAAGATAAACTGTCTATCAAGTAAATTATTGTATGCAGCTTTATGTTAGGTTTAAAATTGGTGCACATCACTGGGTGTAATGAGCAAAGATGAGTTACAGTCAGTTGTAACTATGTGATGAGGGAGAGGGAAGGAGGAGGCACTGATACCCATAGTAGAGTTGTATGGTTTTGGCCTGCATCCCCGGTTCACTTTTTAGGTTCAGTATAAAAAGGCACTGGTGGAGGCGGAGCTGTCCCGGGCAAAAGCAAGGGTAAGACGTCCCCCGAGCATGCATTATTCTTGATTCTTCCCTTGTCTCTGTCCTCTGTCTATTGTCTGCTTGGAATGCTTTTATTCATTCATTCTGTGTTGAGAAGTGGTCCATTGCTAACCTTGTGCTCCTCTAATCCTCCTTTCTGCTCTGCTCAATGCTGAGAGGAGCCATTTTGTCTTTCCCTTCCAGTTCTTGGGTGGCTGAAACTTAGAACCTTCACTCAATTTGTATGCCTTATCTGAATGTGTTTCGAATAACAAGTCTTGCAAACATGTCTGACTTCATCATAACTACATGACTGTGCTGTTATTCCTTCAACTTCACTGTTCACTTCTTTTTTATTTATTCAGGTCTTGCCTGGCAAAGTTTTTCTATAGTGTGAGATAACTGCTGTGCATTTCAGCTGTGAGAGGTTATCCAGCCATGAAGGTAATGAGACTGCAGAATGTCATTTGGTGTTACTGTCAAGATTTTTGACAAATTAAGAGAGCTGAAAGTAAATCCTGATTACCTGATATTAATATCATGTCTTTCTTGAAACTTACAGGGCTATTGATGCACAGTGTAACATCCTGATTAGCTCATTAAAGTGGAATTCATAAAAACTGACAGGATTGGCAATCGTGGTTGTGATTTGCCCTAACCTGCACTAGACAAAATGTAGTCTTTTGCTTAGTTTTCATAGGATTGAATGAGATTATTTAGGTGCTGCTGCCAGGAGTATTTATATGTTGCCATGAGTAGATGTGTAGAATGATACTGGGTAATTGTGGACATTAGTAGCTTGTCAGGGAAGTGTGAAACTGGTGCTGATTGCTCTATTCTTATAGTTGATGCAAAGCTTCTTCTGAGCTAATGGCTGACCTCAGTTAAGAGTCTGCCCTTTGATTCCACCAGCTTTTAAGTGCTGGCTTCCATATCTTGGTTGATAGTATTATTACAATACAATTCCCCAATGAGGAATGGAAGACACTTGTCAGAATAAATGTCAAATATGATCCAGCTGCAAGAGATGGAGATGAAAGGTGCTAGTGGAGGGCCAGAGTATGAGCGGAAACTCCTGGAAGTGGTGCACTCCCTGGATGGGAAGCTCCCAGACTCCAAGCCCCAAGATGGGGACCCAACCCCAAGAGCAGGGGCTCCTGGCCATCCGACTGCACCATCACCATCCCCTGTGAGTTCTTGAGAGTCATTTTGGGAATGGTGGGTAAATGCATGGACTGAGTGGTATCATTTATTTTTGAGTGGGCAGTGAGTTCATACTAGTGGGTTTAACATGAGATTGGATAATTTTAAGCAAGGCAAGGTTAAGAGATGCTGGACTACTCTTTTGGCATTGATTAGATTTTGTCATTGCATGACAGTACTATGTGATTGTACCAGTAAGAATGAGCATGAGCATTCGTTACCTTTCTTGAAAATCTGTCTTGACAAATCTTGGGAGATTCAGTCACTCTGGTTTTATCAAGTGAGGCATTCTCATTGAGGAAATGAAAGTTTTTGTAATATTGTGAACTTGTTTTGAGTGGTTTGATCCTTGGCTTCAGTTTAATCTCTTCAAGTTGAATAAATTCTTCATATCTTGCTGATGAATCAGTACCCATTGAGCTCATTCTTTTCATTTATATTTCAATTTCAGTCTCAATCTAGAAACATCTAGAAACAAAGGCAAATATATGCCAAAATTAGTGCTTATCAGTGAAACTTAAAAAAGTACAATCTACCTGTTTTCAACAGTAAAGCCTTTCATTGCCTTCAAGCCTTGACTAACCTGAAAAGCATTGATCTCTTAAACTTTGGTCCATAGCTCTGTAGGGTTACTCTGCCCTTCCCGTAGTGATGAAAGCAGGAACAACTGCTAAATCTATTATGGTGAAGAATAAGAAGAATTTGATGGAAGAATTGAGTGCAACAAAGTGAAACCTTCTCTGCAGGAGGAGTTGCGTCAGCTAAAGAGCAAGTACAGCAAGGCAAAGCGAATCATCCGGGAGCTGGCCAAACGGGAGAAGCATTGGCTGACCTTGGTGCAGGACCGGGACACAGAGTACGAGACGATGCTGACTGCGCTGTCGCAGCGGGTTGCCACACTCACCCAGACCCTGGCTGATGTGAAACAACGCACTGGACTCCAGCTCAGTCTGCCCACACATCCTCAAATTACCCCTCTATTGGAAAAGAGGCTCAAGGTGTGTTCTTCAGGTTTCCTGTGATTCTAGAGGGTAGGAATATGATCGAGCCCTTGCATTCATTTGTACAGGAGTCAAGATTTTGTGTTGGCACAATTTTTTTTTAAGAAGTTAGTTTGAAGTGCTGTAGTGCAGTTTCTTTTGTCTCTCTTACATCATTGCATCCCATCATTACTTTAATCAACTGTGTATCCAAAATTGCTTCCTTTCCTGTGAGATTTGAATTTCAAAATGTTTAATTTATATTTTTGGAAAAATCTTTTTTGGACCTTGTCTCCCAAGTCTTGAGAAAGTTAAGAACTTCACAGGCAAGGATAAGTTAAATTGGAATAAAAGCTACAAGTACCAGTCTGTCTATTGGTTTTAGAACCACACTTATGGTTACCTAAGTGTTTTAAGTTGCTCATTGAAGCTGGACATAAGAGAAAATTTTGAAGACCCTTGTGATAGTCTCACTTCCTATGATGATTCAGGATCTCTCCACACTCAAGAGCAAATGAAAATTATATGCTTTATTGACTCATTCTTATTTTCATTCATTGAAGCTTTTATATCTGATGTTCTGTGGTCACCTAACACAGTAAAAGCTAGGCTCAAAGCTGCCGATAAGAATATGAATTTGTCTCGAGAATGCAATTGATGCCATTGCTTTAAGTTTATCCTCCAAGATTCCCTCTTTTTTAAATGTATTGTTTAGTTGTACTGTAATTCATTTCATCCTTCTTTCTTTCTTTCTTTCTTTTTTTTTTTTTTTTTTTTTACCCAGGCCCCAACCTTTGGATTGAGTCCAATTTCAGACCTGGACTTCTCAGATCTGGACTCAACCACCTCTGACACCAGTAGCCATGATGAAGAATCCTCAATCTCCTCATCCAAGGCCTCGACAACAGTGAGACTTATTATACTTAACCTCCATTTGTGAGCTATGTTTGAAAATCAGCATTATGGCTCTTATTATTATATTACTATATTAGCAGTTGGTGGGAGTAGGGATGAACGTGAAGGAGGAGTTGGATCGGGCTGTACCTCCCACTCAACTCCTGGATGTCTCTGCACAAAAGCAGAAGGCTGAACTTGCCTCTCGTGGCTCCCTTGCCAATCGCCAGCTCCCCTCAATGCTTCGAAAGGTACTTTCAATGAGAGGAAACTTAAGTGCATTCTCACTGATGTGAGTATATTTTCATAAAAGTGATGCACCTATCAGTCATTTTTCCAAGGACTATTCATGTCTGTGAGGGTGTTCTTGTTTCTGTATTCCATTGTTTAAATTTTTTAATTGCCATTCTGAAGTACTCTCTCTAGAGCAAGTCTATGTTTATGAAATGACTCATCAAAAAATCAAATATGGAGTGTGATTCAATAATTAATAGAAAGAAGTTACCACAAGTGTGAGCACAATGTAACAGAGAGTTAGAAATGGATTCCCTTTTGCAAATATACAAGTTTTCCATGCCACTTGGTTAGGCCCAACTGTCTTGCAAAGTATGCTCACACGTGTTAACATATCCTTAAAATAGACCCACAAACAGTTCCTGATGTCTGCACTGCATTTTATTGCCTTTTAAAATGGATGTTTACATATTGCAATTTCTTTCTTTTAGTCTGAGGAAGAGAGAGGTGGTAACTGGTCTGACTCCTCAACTGTGATTGGCTCGAACGAGACTTTCGCGTATTCGTCCTCTGCATACAGCAGCACCCATTCGTACAGAAGTGCCCAGTCTGCGGCGTTTGTCCATTCATCCCAGTCTCGCTTTGCCCCTCCGGCACCTGATGCGGGCCCCCTTTCTCAACAGCTGAGGCAGGTCCTCGGTTCACATTACCATCAGCATCACCATGAGAAGGCTTCTAACTTAAGTGAGTTCCATCTTTACTGGCCTCATTGTTTCTCTGTATGGTGGGCAGGAAATTGATTGTATTTGTTGACTCATTTGCTAAGTAGTTGAAGGAGGCTCCTCTGCATCAGCTGTTCCTCCCCCTCCTGTGCCTGGGAACTCAAACATCGTTCCTGCTAGCCTTGTGCAGGAGATTCGACAAGCCGTTCAAGAGGCCAATGCACGGGGTATGTGTGTTGTCTCTCTTTTCTTTGTATTAACAGACATTGGATCAATTTGGTAGCAATATGTAACATGCTTTGGTCTGGAGCTGTAGTGACTTAAGCATTCACTCAAGATGTTCGCAGAAGGCAGGTGAATAAATATATGCTTTCACATTTACCATCCTTGATGTCCAATTGCAATCAGTTGTTGAAGTTGTGACAGATTTTCATGGTTAGAATGAATCGGAATGGAAGCAAATATGATGTAAATGGCCATTAATTCTGGTGGTTCTATGGAACTCTCAATAGATGAAGGTAAATGGAAAAATTAGGCTCTTCTCTCTTCAGTCTTTATTCTTTTATTTATTTTTATGTTTCTAGAAAATAGAGGTTCACTTGAACTCACTGATCTGGCCTGCTGTTGATGAAAAATCAATATCCTTCCATCAGTTTACATATGGCATTGCAGAGTACATATTACATGTGAAATAGTACTTTGTGTCCATGATTGTGATTCTCCTCTTGATAACTACTTGAACTACATAGCTTGAAATTATTTTAAAATTTATTCCTAAAAGGCTCTTTCAAATGTTATTTCATAAATCCATTTTTCCATATCCTGAATATGATATGACTCCTTAACTTGTAGGAATGTCATGCTCATCAATTGCATCAAAGTAATGCTTTAGTGTTGGATGACACTTGAGAGAAAGGAAAATCTTGCTCAGAAGTATGTGGGAGTCTCCCTGTGTATATCTGAACCTCTTTTTTTTTTTCTGCCTCCCCAAGCAGTGAAACGAGTATTGCCACCCACCCCTCCAGGACAACTTCAGTCATCCCCTGACTGGAGAACTCCCAGCGCAACGATCACAGACATGACCGGTCCTCACCCACACCCCTCTTATCACCCTCACGCCCACATGGCCTCTGGATCCCCACAGTACCAGGGGAGGTACTGGGGTACGTCCTCAAGCTCCATCCCTCCTCCCCAGCCCCAGGAGTTTCCGGTTCCCAGACGATACAACGAATCCTCCAACTCGAGCCTCACCTCGCCGTCATCTGCCAGCGGTTCTTCGTTGGCATCCCCACAGGATGCATCACTGAGCAGCAGCTCGTTGAGCTCCCTGGGGCGGGGTGATGGTCAGAGAGTGTCGCCTGTTCTTTCTCATGTATGGCAGAGTGGTTCCATCACTGACTGGGGAAAGGAACAGGTCTGTTTCTGGTTCTTTTCCTTCATCGTTCATGAATACAGGAGTTGATTTATGATAGAAAAAATTGTTTATTTCTTGTGTGGAAGACAATAAGCAAATGCCTGAAAAATTAGTAATATTTTGAGCAGAGGTCACCTTTTAAGAATAACTTCTTGCAGTCACTCTTGTCCCTTTTCATTTTATGTGTGTCAGGTTTTTTATGTATGTGTGGTCAAGCTTGCACCCCAACATTCATATTCACTATTCAATGGAATTCTGACATTTAAAATTGTCTTGTACCTCTTATGTCAATTATACAATTTTGGAATTTCTCAAATGAAGTGGCATCAGCATGTCATAAGTGAATCAGATTTGAAGATCTTTTTATGAAATTTAAAATTGTAGGAGTAGATGTGTGTAATTGATGAAATAGCAATAGAGGACTTAAAACTGCATTTTTTACTATCTGCATCTTATTAAACTGCATCTTGCATTATCTTATATTACCAGGTGTGTCAGTGGCTCCTGGGAATTGGAATGGAGTGCTATACAACAGTGTTCCTTAAGAATGGGGTCACGGGCCAGGACCTCGTGGCCATGGACACAGGGATGCTGAAAGCCCTCGGAGTTGCTGCCGAAGACCGCAAAGAGCTGAAGAAACGCATCAAGGAGTTGCGAAGTCGCGAAGAGCGCGAGCGTAAGGAGTTGGAGAAGGAGCGGAAGCTCAAGGAGAGGCAGCAGAAGAAGGCGGCCAAGCAGACCACCAAGGGCAAGTGACGGTTCCCGCACGCCTCACCCGAGTGTCGGCTGTGATTTTTTTTTCCTTCAATATTCTCATCGCATTCTTCTTCCATTTTACCATCCTGAAATCAAAGTTTGAATCTACTTATTCTTGCCAGCATCCAGGGTCAGACCAAGGCAGCTACCTTGAAATGACATTGCCCACAGCTCATGAATCCCAAACGTTTTTAATGGAAGAACCCCATGAATTCTTTTCTTTCAGAGACCATAGCACATTGACTGTGTCATGGGATAATTTATTCCCTTGTTATTTTATATATTTTTACTTTAAACTCCTGCTGCTGCTGCCCGTTCTGAGTTGATATTATGTCGTGATGGCGGATGCAAGGTTTCAATTCTGCTCATGTGCCCTCACATACATGACCAAAAAAACTTTTTCAATTTCATTCTGACAGAAAACTTTTTTGAATGCATATGATTGTATTGAAGACATATTTAATGCTTTGTGGATTTGAACATTTTTATGTCATTCGGTCGAGGATGACCATTCCACCCTTGATTGTGCCAAGGTTCCAGCTCAATATTGCCTGGGTTTGTGATGCAACCTCAGTTTGCGATATGCAAAATGATTGCTCCTCCGATATTTTTTATTCTTGTTTTTGTTCATGGGCAATTCTCTTGCCTGGGATTTGCAACTATTTCTTTTTTAAAAATCGAACGGTATTTATGTGGCAACTGAAAGTGATCGAGTGCATGTAGAGCACAGAACTTTTGTCTTTTTTGTTGGAAGCCTCTTTGTGCATGTGCGGATAGGTGCAAGCTGCTCCTAGTCTCTCTGTCTATCAGTAAAGGATCAGTTGTATACGAGTTGGAAAGTGTTTCACTTTTACCAGGAAGCATAATATCGGTATGACTCAGAGTGACATTGGGAATTAGTTGTAGAGCCTTGTACCAATGGTTACTTGGTTTTTGGCATTCTTATTTCTAGATCTTGATTGATGGAGAAGCTTGAGGGCTCATCCTGCATGCTTACCTGAAGGTGTATACTCAATGTTGTAGCTTCAATTTTTCCTGGAAGATTCACACAGATATGGAGGGGGGGGGGGGGGATTCTTTGCTTCCTTCTCTGAAAGAAAAAAGTCAAGTTTTTTCAGCACTGAACGTTTCCGGACTGGAAAATAGTTAGGTCGGAAGTTGGGATGCACCTGTGCAGAATTACCTGAAACCAATATCATTCAGTGGCTGTCAGTAGAGAAACCACAACCTCTACTCAACATCAAAAGGTCTTGTGCCGCATTTGGCACAGAAGGGTAGAAAAAGTCTACAGGCAATCAAATCACACTGCACTGCTGCCACGTAGGATCTGGAGGAATAACCTCGGCCATAATGCATGGGGGACCAGAAGAAGACTAAATTGAAATTGTACTCGGAATGTTCCGAACGGTATCGGAAATCACATATTGACGCTGTGTTTAATATAACGACGAATGAGTTCATACTGCGTTTGACAACTGAGGCATTTCGATCATTGCAGTTTAGCTGCAGTACTCCATAATCACAAGCAAAAAGTGTTTCGTTTAGGTTTTTTGGTCCACCCTATACTAGCTGTTAGCGTGAAGGCGAATGAAATATGAAGGAGGAAAAAGAGGACGTATGGGAATCTATAGGACGCCTTCCTCCCGGACGGAAAGCGAAGAAAGAGGACGCGTCCGGGGAAAACCGGACATACGGTAACCCGACAAAAGTGCATTCACAATGCCTCTTGAAAGACTTGTTCCAGGAAGCAGCCTCGTTCCGTTTTCCGTTGTCAGCTGATCGCATGTTCCGGATCCACTGCGGCGGGGGGGGGGGGGACACATTGCTCACACAAAGGACAGGCCATGCTCGGCGATCGGTTCATGCATGGGAAAATAGCACTGCAGACGCAAAGCTTCCGGAAAACAATAAGGTTTCCAAGGACGATGGCAAGTGGAAAATGAAAGCACATGCTCCGGGAGAGAGAAAGACAGAAGAAACGATTAGAACAAGAAAAAGAGAAGAAAAGAGAGTAGAAAGACAGCGAAAACAAAGAAAGGACGAAGGGTCATATGAACATGTAAAAAGCGCAAGGAGAGTGGAAAAGGAGACAATTATTGATCTCGGTGACGAAGGAATCGCTGCAGATCACGATGCACAGGTTAGGGGTCCTAGGATTTCGGGACCCCCCCCCCCCAAAAAAAAAAAAAAAGAAATTATAAATACGTGGAGATGGAATTCTTGAATTGCACTTCGCTCTACCTTTGTTACGATGAGGATTCATGCTTCATTTTTTAAATGTATTGTGGCAACTAGCTCGATCCCCAATGGCCAGACATTATTGCGGTCAGTTCACGTTCTTCATGAGAGAAGGGAAATGAACGTCGTCAGCGTATTTCCACCTCATTCCACCAAAACCGAAACTAAAAGAAAGCCACACCTAACCTTCCAAACTGCGATGGACTTAATTTCCCAAAAACTGGTTTCTTTAACCCATGGAGAATTGGGAGAATGAATCGTCGAGCTCGTTTGAACGGGACCGAAAGTGGAAATGCCGACTCCTAGACGCTTTCGGCGAAACATAGAAGGAATGCGGCTCGCTTGATGTGCCTTCTTCCTGTTTTCTTTCAGGTTAGTTAGTGTATATAGCAAAAGCGTGAAATCACTGCATGAAAAAATTCGAATGTTGAGTTTTTTCTTTTCATTGTCATGAGGACCGAAGGTAGGGGAGGCTGCCGAGACTGGATGAAAAAAACCTAGGGGACGACCAGGGGCCACCTGTTTCTCGGTCCGGTGCTATACCATGACACCACAAAACACAGGACCTACGTTTCTTTTTCCCTATCACCGCACATTAAGGTTTCTGTTCCAACGAAAACGGGCAGTCTCGCCCTCCGTTCAACGTCACTACACATTAAAATTACTACTTCTTTTATCATCTTTCGCAGCTAAAATACACACCAACGCAATCGACTCATCAAGAGCTTGCGATTGATATATCACAGGCACCATTCGACGGGTCGGAAGTCTTTCCCTCATGGATAATTGTTAATTCGCAGTAAGAAAAATGCAATTAGCAATCAGATGTAAAGGGTATCGTTGAAAAATTGAAGAGACTGCCTAGTCCGATCCAAGAGAAAACAATAAAAAGGTAGCATCAAGGATATAAAGTAATCTTTTTAAATTAATTAATCAATTAACACATTTTTTGTGCACGGTTTTAGACCATGATAATCAATATGAGACCTCTCACACCATCACACGATATCTCCTTCATGGCTAGGTGATTCGGTAAACACACGTATTATATATGTGGAATAAAATATTTCAAGACGGACTCATGACTGAAGATGACGTTTCCATTCCCATTTCCCTTCCCGGCAGCAAGAATGAACCGCGGAATGAGAAATTTCCTAACATCGTTCAGGCCGGTTCGATTGCTGGAAGAGCGAAAAGCAGGGGAAAGCAATCAAACGCCGAATAACGCATGAAGTTCATCAGCTGGGTCTAGCCAGGTAAGCATGGGAAATGGGTTTTTTTACTGGCCGTTGAGAAATCGGGACATTTCTAGGTCGACGGTATCGAGGTCGATCACCGCAATCCGCCCTCCATGTATCCAGGGTGAAAATGATTAACTCAACTGCGTAATTCATGCCCTATCTAAGGATACCTAATTCAAGATTGGCACTCAATTGCTCTGTGATATATATGACGATTTGACGCCAACAGTAGCAGACGTGTTGTATGTCGTACTGCGAGTGAAATTTTCCCAGATGTTTCGATTTCACACATGTTAATCATGTTCCAGCCGCATGCTCATGCCAAAGTGAACGTTTCCTGCGGCTTCAGTGCTGACTCCGCCGTTGAACTGCACATACTTAAGGAACGATTCATCCAGACACGTGAAGTGCCACATTCATGGCAAAATGCGATAAGCGTCATGACGAACGTGAGTTGAAATGGACTGGATCGATCGAAAACCGGGGTAGAAGAGAGGGGCAGAGAGGCCAAAGAGGAAAGAATTCCCCGAAACCCATTTGCAATTGAGGTCGGACGGGAAAATGCTTGATGGAAACGACGGAAAGACGGAAAGACGGAAAGACGGAAAGGGGACTGGACGAGGTCGAGTCGTGGATCGAGGTCAGGTCGTGGATCGTGGTCAGATCGTCGGTCGATGTCAGGACTAGGACGAAGACGTCATACCGGGGTTGTTTCCTGTTCGATATTTCATATCTCGCAGCACTCTTGCACTATTATATCTGGGCCATTCCATAAGTTAGTAGAATTCGGTTGAGAAAACGAGAATGGGAAGCCCATTGACACGCGCGATTGTTTCTGGAGTCGCCACACCCACAAGGCATTCATCCAGTACACTTGTCTGGCCTACTTGAATCTTGTCCATCCACTTGTACACAGCTTTACGAAATCAGGATTACCTTGTCAGCCGTGGATGAGCCGAACGCCGAACTACGGACCAACCAAGTTGGAGTACTACACAGATGCAAGTGCCTTACCGGACGACATATATCCTTCTCACAATTTCTGTTGTAACCCGGAGGGAGACCCAGATGATCCGTGGTGTGCAAATGCTGCCGGAACGGAACCGCCATTTGAACAATGCAACATCCCAATATGCAATTGACATTTTGATTTCCTGAAGAACATTTTCTATATTTCCCAGCCAACGTTAGTTTAACAGCAAGGAATTTCGTTCCTTCATCGCTCCATAAAATGAGTTGCAATCAGAAACGGATTCATCTCCCCTGGCCTCCTGGTTTTGTGAGGGAAAATTAACATTGATGCGGCATTACTGTTCCTCTCCCGTTCCTCGGTCGTGTCCCTCATTGAGTGGGTGGAAGTGTGTTTTCATCTCCACATTACCAATATTTTACATTTTGTGCTAATGTATTTAAGAAGCCCTTGAAGAAAAAGGTCACCCCCCCAAGTCACTGGGTACTTCCACGGGATTCTGTGAATAATGACTTAGTAGTATCTAGTCAGATGAACATGAATCAAACTTTGAGATAAAGGAAGTATGTGTCAATAAATAACTGAATCAAAGGCAGTAGATTTTCCTCGGTCGGTTTCCATCGTCGGTTGCCTATTCTTCACATGAATCGTTGTTAATCGTCTCTTGAATATCTCAAGGCAGGAAGGGATATGGACTTCTCTCTCTCTCTCTCTCTAAGCCATTTTAAGTCGGCAAGACGGAAGGAAAGCTGAGCTAATAATTGCCCGATTCGTGTGAGCTCAGTTCGGCCGAGGACATGAAAAATCCCGATCGGTTGTCTCATTTCTTCTCGGACTCATCGAATCGAGGTCGGCGTCATGGATTGAAAAAAGGCGCCATGTTCACTATTTATGGTGTTCGCTGTACCTTACCGCCCTCAATCATCTATACGGATTCCAAGAGAAACTTGTGAAATGTCTCCCTTCCCTTGCGAAAATGTTCTATAGTAATTCTAAAGGAATTTATTGGAATCTTACAGGGTTTCTATAAGGAAGCATGCATTCCTAAAGGGAGTCCATAAGGTTCCAATATGAATCCTAAAATATCTGAAAGGTTTCTCGTTGGATCTATCGTAGACGTAGAAAGTGGGGGGCATATTAAGATAGGATAGCTCCTAAATAAAAATATTTAATTAAAAAACGATGAAGATATCGAATTCATGTGAAACTGTGAATATAAATATTCTCAATTCCTAGGTTTTCCTAGCAAAATATTAAATCAATTAATCTAACTCTACAGAGTGGCAACACGTACCGATGTGCATGCATGATTGCGACACATTTCAGGCGCTGTCGCGTCGTCCTCGCGCCTGCATCCAATGCTTGAGCCGCCTCGAGTCCGA